GGAATTTCATACATTAATTTTATTTGAAACTGTATTTGTGAAATAACAGGAAGGATCTCACAGAACAATATGTAGAATACACGCGAAGTGATCTGGTGACAGAACAACCTTCTTTCAGAACATTGAAATAAACAAAAATTAGTTAAAATACTTTATTGGACCAGATTTTGGTACGTATATATAGGTAGGTGTTGCCCAAAAAGTGCCTTGATCATTGTATTCTTTTCAATTTTAGAAACACGTAACCAAAATTGATATTATTTATGTAAATTATCATTCTTTTAAAACTAATAAACGCTATATATTAATGACTTTCAAAATCGTAATTTTTATCGAATCCATAAAGGGTGATGGAAAATCATAGGGGTATTCGGTGCAGATAATGGAAAGCCTATCAACATTATTTTCGTTTGTATTTTTTGTGACTAATAATCGTTGCCGAAGCGTTGATCAATTTGAAATCAAAGAACATTAGATAAACTTGAATGTAAAAGATTTTTGCCTTGAAATTGTGAATTAAAAGAAACCTTTTTCAAAGAAACCGAGAATAATAGCATAAACTACCAAATTTTGACGCCTTGTAAAAGTTGGACTCGGATCTCGCCTAAAAAATCATAAAAATCCATTCCAAACTGCCACGAAGGCTTCTTTTCCAATTGAAGTTAAAATCATGTTATAATTAGTTTCTATTTTTGACGCTCTCTATTACGTTTTGTGTGGACCTGAATTTATTTATTCTATTAATTAGGATAATGTCTGCATGTACTTTTTCTACAAATACAGCAATTTTATAGCAATTTCTCGTTGATGTTTGGAATTTCGGAACGAAAAACTTGTGAGTATACATTGTGAACGATTTATTAGCAGTTTATTGTGATTTTTATAAGCAGTCTGATTGGTCATAATCGTAGATATAATAATTAAGTGGTTTTGAATAAAAGAACCTTAGTCATTTTTTCTTGCTGGTATTTGCGAAGATGTAATAAAACTGTCAGCTTTTATTGTTTTATGTCTATTATTGAAAGTCTTTAAATTTTAACTGCCGTATAAATCAATTGGACCAACGTCAAATTAATGGAAAAGGTTAACCAGAAATGGTATGCTAACAAACTCGAATGTCTTTAGTGTTTGTTTATATTCCACAACACAATACAGTTCAAACTCGTGCTGAAACTGTCATATTAATTTAAAGTTCAACAAGAAGATGTATATTAACAAATATAGTGGGAGAGTACAATAAAATAAATTGCAATACGAATTTCATCAAAATAACTTGAGCTCATTAAAATATTACAATTACATTTTGTAAAAAAAAAAGTAAAACATTCTCATATTTGTTCTGCATATTTTAGAGGAATAGAATTAGATTTCAAAAATGTTAACTTTATTATTAAGATTTATTAATTAGAGTAGAACGGAATAACCCCAAACAATTTTCTTTTTATTTTAAAAGTGATATATCATTTAAAGGTCTTAGTCTAAGCTGGGTCTAAGAATTCAAAAATGCTATTACATGCTTCAAATAGAGATTTTGCCTAGTAATGGATAACTGGGTATCCGGCAAAACCATTACAATTAATGGCTCATGTCTTTGTTATGGCTTTCTTTTAAATACTACCCTCAAACCGATTACCCTGCCCATCATTAGTTTAAGGTATGCGTAGGTAAATAGTAAATTCTCTTCTCTGTGCTTTCAAGACCATTGAAGAATTATCATCATCAGAAAAATTAGTGCGAAAATTTTGGCAATGAGTTTTTTTTTATGCCTTGTTTTAATCTGTCTAAAATGTATATTTGCCAATAACTTTTCTAGTTATTTTTTTTCAGGAAAATTTATAATTCCTTAATAAAATTTTAACTTTGGATATTTACGACTTAGAGTGTCAATTTCCCAATAAACTATTATTATTTTAGTTTGACTGCTACATAGGGGCATACAAATGTCTTAGGTAATGCCCACGTTTTGTTGTCCTGAGTGGTGTCAAACTGGTTTAGTTGATGTCATAAAAGAATGTTAAAAATGTAAAAGCATCACTGAATTGATTCCTAATGTGGGCTTTGTTTCTTTCAGAATGTATTCCTAACACAAAATCAGTGTGGAATGTTGATGGACTTTATGATTATTTCAGTATTTATTATTCATTTGTGAATCTCAATCCCGTATAAGAATTACGAGCCGTTTAATAGCTACAGCATTGAATTAATTAACCCGTGGTGTATTTACAGTTTTAATTAATGAGTACCTCCAATTAATTAAATTTAAAACTTTGCTCTTTAATTATGAAGAACGCGTTTAATACATCAGAAAGACTACAAGAAATAAACCACATAAACAATCTAGTATCACATACATTGTAATAAATTGAATATGCCCTTGTAGGTGAAGTAGTTGTAAAAAAAAATAATCAGTGCTTTAATGTTTTTATTTTATTATTATTTTATTATGTTATAAATATGATATAGCAGTATTAGCATCTAGCAAGGAGGACCTAGAGATAGCTTTAAATAAAATGGGAGCGGTACTGACAGATCAGTACTGTATGAAAATAAATAAAAGTAAAACTAAAATACTGTTATGCAAGGGAAGGAAAAGTAGGGAAAGAGCGAATATAAAGATAGGAGACGAAAAATTAGAAGAAGTGGCTGATTTTAGATATTTAGGAAGTCAGATAAGTCAGGGTGGAAGGAGTAGTAGGGATATAAAGCAGAGGATAGCGCAGGGTCGTGTCGCCTTTAATAAAAAGAAGTCAATATAAGAACAAAGGCTTTCACGGCCGGAATCCATAGTAATGAACTATTGTGTCCACGGCCCTATAGCTCGAATCTTCATTCTACTATAAAAAGAAGTCACTTTTATGCTTGCGAACGGTTAATTTAGAAATTTGAAAAAGATTGTTAAAGGTGTATGTTTGGAGCGCGGCATTGTACGGGTGCGAAACATGGACGGTGGACGAGGCAGAAAAGAAAAGGTTAGAAGCATTCGAAATGTGGTGTTACAGGCGAATGATGACGATACCGTGGATAGAGAAGGTTAGAAATGAAGAGGTATTAGAAGGAATAGGAGAACAGAGGACTCTATGGAAGTCAATAAGAATTGGCGAGATAGGTTGGTAGGACACCTTCTCAGGTATGAAGGTCTAGTCAGAGACATATTAGAGGCAGAAGCAGGAGTTAGGAGGGGTAGAGGTGGACCTAGGTTAGATTACTGTTCGCAAATAATTAAGGATGTGGAATGTTCTAGTTTTAGGGAAATGCGAAGTTTAGCTGAGGATAGGAAAGAGTCGAGGTACGTGTCCAACCAGTCTTAGGACTGACGACCCTATGTTGATGATGAATTTATAAATATTCCCTTTCACATGAAGGGTTTCAGAAGAAGGGCATATCTTCGTTAGATAGGTCAACGTCACTGAGACAAGACCCGTACTGTAAAATATAACCCTTTAAATATTTCCCAAAAATATAATCAGTTAGATACCACAGATTGCTATATGTTGTTTATAATCCTTTCTAATACGATTATATCTCCTCTTACTGAATTCTAATTCACTGCCCACTCTATAAACGCACATGACGCGTATTAACATAAAATATAAACAAAGGCCCGTTGTCTGATATTTATCTACAATTTAAGTCCAATCTATTCTAATAGGACAGCCCAAGGAGATTTTTAAAATCGTCTTTAGCAGAAATGTCTAATGTATTATGCGAAAAAGTAACTGTTGTGTTCTATACTCATGTGCTAACATTAGTAATGATAGAAACAGTAATAAACAAACACAATATGAGATTATTAACGTATAAAAAGAAATTAAGCTACTTTACCTAGTGATATACATTTTTTTAAACTTAAATGATACAACGGTATAGAGCTTTTTTTGATAGGAAATTGCAACATTGATGGAAGCCTTCCACAACGAAGTTTAAAGAATCGAGCTTATTCATTATACTGAGCTTTCGTTATCACTACATAGTATAAAACAAATTCGTTTCCCGCTGTCTGTCCCTATGTATGCTTAGATCTTTAAAACTACCCAACGGATTTTAATTCGGTTTTTTTTAATAGATAAAGTGATTCAAGAGGAAGGTTTATATGTATAATACATGCATAATATAGTAGGGAAACACTGATAATTTTAGAGGTTTCTAATGTGATGTCGTAAATAAACACATTTTTTTGCGCTTACATTGCAAACGCTGGCTGAACCCTACGAGATAGATCAAAATAATATACTACAGTATTGTACACCTTAAAAAGGTCTACAAAAAAGTCCGGGATGGTATATGTCTATCTCTTAGGGATAACCCACAATAACCATTTTTTATCCTTTACTTTTTACGAGAAATAATGGCTTATTTACGAAGCGATTTTAAGCAATACAGCATTAATCCTTATCCAATTAAGTACTTTTAAATACGTTGTGCATTTAATTTAGACGAATATGGCCCTGTACAGCATGTAATTTAAATGAATATTTTCGAAGATATTACAGATTTAAAATGCAAGGACATAGCGGTTGCGGCGGTATGGGTCGGGGGGCCGATTTGTATTGTCTAATGACAAAAGCTGTGAATATTGTATATAAAGACATTCTGTAGTATATTTAGTATCAGCATTGCACCCGTGCGAAGTTGGGGCGGGTCGCTAGTAATATTATAAATTATTTTGCTTGGACGCATTAATACCTTATAATAAAGTGTTTATTGGAGATGAATGAACCCTAGAAAACGTATTCATATTTTTCCACAATGTATAACTGTTAAGGTAGAAACACCATTAAGATCGATACGGAAAATCTATAAACTAGAAGGGAAAATGGAGTTATTCAGTCACAAAGCTTCTGGATGAAGAATTCTCCGCCTTGAACTCGATCCGCTTCTAAAATAATTTTAAATTACTAACTTTAACTGAAGTCGCTCGTTAAAACTTTAAAATCCTTCCTGAATAAAGTTATGTGTATGTTTTGAATAAAATAATTAATTATTTTACTTTTTCGTTTCAGTAACCACGGCAACGTCGACAAGCAACAAGTAGAATCGAGTGGTTCGGAAAGTGAAGCGGAACCGAAACATCCCTCTTATCCATCGGCTTTACCCGTTATGCCTGCTCAGTTGAACTACGCGTCATTAGCAGCCCCTAATATGAGTCAACCGATTTATCCCGGTCCCGGTGTACTACACGACTATCAGACTTTGTGACAGTGGTTTATAAACCCTTCTGATCAAAATAACGTTCAAAATGTACCGTAATGTTTAACTTGTATGTATACATACATAAAGACCTGAAACATTATTATGTCATTGATTCTACAGCATAAAGAAATGTACAAAGAAAAAGACAACGAGCAATCTCAACCACTAATGTATTACTACAAAAATAGTTTGAGATCTTCATTGCTTCATATGGGTACTCTTACACCTATTTTTTATAAAGACATTTTATAATTTCTACTTTTCTAAAGTAGTTAAATAATATGTTAAATATAATCTAGTAAAAGTCCAGTTGCATTAGCATCTTTGATAATTTTTTATGGATATTTTGTACTAAACATTTACGGTCAGTTAAGCAGTAACCCACAGTGAAACAGTCAGTAACAACTTAAAACATTCATAAGCATCCAGCCCAATTATACTCATCGTAATAGGTTTTATCATTGAATGCAAATTAGAATGAATGACATTAACTTCTCATTCACATTTTGGGCACATCTTTTGACTATAATCTTTTGCGAGTAATTTAGAATAAACAACAATCTTTCTATCCACAATTTTTGCACACTATTAAGCATTAGTTCTACAGCAAGTATCATAAAAAAACATGAGGATTTTACGATATTAGTTTATTTACACAATTTTAGACTGTGATTGATTTCGGTGCTGCTTAACTACTAAAAATGTTTAAATTTTTTCTTCTAATTTGACTAAACTATAATACTATGTTACCCACCAAGGGAAGCAAGTATACCACTCCCTTCAGAATGCGGATTACTTTCCGCTGAAAGCGAGGGCGCAAATTCCCGAAAAAGGGTGTGGTACTCTCTTACCGAAACTCGTATAGGATACCCCTGCCCGAAAGTACGACTTTTTCTGATTTCGGGACAGGGCATGACACAATATCGCATACGTTCTTCGGGAAGAAAATACAGCAGCCCTCCCGGAGGTTTGTCGTCCTTACCGGGAGAGGTGACGATTCATACCAGGGAGGCAAATGTCCTACTTTCTTCCCTTGTTGCGTAATATATTGTTAATATTTACACTGAAAATTATACATATTATATAAAGCCGCGTTTAGACTAAGTCGAGTAATTGATAAAGTTGCTCATAAGCCAATTCGCTTCTATTTAAAGCGATATTAAAAAAGGCTCTCGGCAAATGCTTGTTTACCCCTTTACCCCACACCACCAATATTCTTGTGTTTTCAAAGTTTGTAATCTAAAGTTGTGTGTGAGCATTACTTTATATATTTATGTATTGTACGCCACTGTCTTTTGTATAGAATTTATTGTTTTTATTCGCTTAGTCTAAACCAAGAGCGTATCCGGAAATAATTCAGGAGGAGAAGGGAGGAAGGGGGAATTAAGTTTTATACATCTACATTTGAACACTTGATTGACTTTTTCACTTGTTTTTTGCCGTAAAAAAATATTACAGCTTTTTTCTATACTGACGATTTTTCTCACACATTTTTTTGCAATTTTTTACACTACAGAATTAAACCATAAGTCATGGAGCTCATAATGAATAAAGTGATTTGTGATTTCCCTCCTCCCCCCTTTTTGATCTGCCACTGGTCTAAGCTCAAGGTTTATTTTCTTTATTAATTACAATCTGACTGCTTCACTTTTGTACGTTTTGAATCAAAATGTAACGTTTCTTGAAGTTAATGTACTAATTAATTAATACATACTTCTATATTAGGTACCTACTTGATATTCTAGAAGGGTTTATAGAGATGGGAGTGAATAAAAGTGAATTTAATTATGTACTTCCTTAAATTTACGACATACTTAGCTGTTGTACATTAGATTTTTCGACATTTGTTATGTAATTTCGTAAAAAGTTGTAAATATTATTTATTCTTGGTCTTGTTGTTTTTTCCTAGAGTGTATTACGTACATTTCCAACTCAAAAAAAAAAAGAAAAACTGTCTGTACTTTTATCATTTTATCGTTAGAAAATGCACAATATTTTTCGAAACGGTTAATTTTAAACGCTTTCGAATTGAGGTTTTTAACTACTTATTAATTGCTGTGTATGTACAGGATGCCTTTGATTAAGTAAATTATGGCTACTTACCTTCACTATACGTAAATCACAAAGCAATGCACATAAACGTTTGGCAGTATTTTAATTACGAGAAATTGATTAAACCACGAACTCAATAAACTTTTAGTAGTTAACCTGTGTTTTATTACCGAATAGTAAGATAATCACCTTAATTCCTAATGCATAAAGCATCAAGTAAATCATCACTAATTATATGTACTCATGCAATTTGTTTGATAAATGAAATACAATTNTTATTTAAATAGTTTATACTAAATAACAAAGAACTTTCTCCAAAATTGCTGTCAAGCGATGGTATACTTTTGTTGTTGTTTTTGCTAAATGCATTTATACAAAAAGGAAATATATTTACTAAATATTCCTACAATTTTTGTTGCATATTAAAACGCAAAAGCGCTCATAAAGGAAACAGTTTGTAACTTACCTTATAAACTTGCTTTAATATCATTGATAAATGCCTAGATAACATAAAGGAAGATATGCAATTGTGTGATAAGTAAAAGCACTTTAATAAAAAGTTTAAATTGTTTTAATCGGAATATTAAAAACCAATTACAACTTATCCCATTTAATATTTTAAAATTTTGATGATCTTTTGCCATCTATCGGCACAAGAGTCAGTTAAGACAAAGTTGCATAGGCACCTGTGATAACAAACAACATTTATTACTGCAATTATTTGACAAAATGAATCACAAAATGAATTTTTTTATTCACAAAATCATTATTGCGATTTTTTTTATTCAATTTCATTAAATATGGAAACATGAGCAGTATTGCAATTGCAAAAACTTTACCGACAACCTCGTATACAGTTTATGGTATACGTGACGTTTGTCAACAATTTGTCAAAGCTGTGAGGTTTCTGATGTGTTTTGATGATATCCATGTTTTGAAAATATTTAGAAAATGAGTTATACGGAAAAGCATGATTCTACATCAAAGGAGGAATGGATGAAGACTCTGGCAAATAAAGAAATAAGCAGAACAACTATAAACAAGCTTATAATGAATTACTTGGTGATAGGTAAATTGTCTTTAATGGTTAATTGTTTATTTGAGGCTATGTAGATATTAATACATGTTCGAATTTTTAGAAGGATTTAAGGAAGCTGCTGAGAAATTTGAAATGGAATCTGGTGTGAAACCATCAGTGGACTTAAATTCATTAAACAACAGAATTCAAATACGAGATGCTATTATGAATGGCAGAATACAAGAAGCAACTGCTTTACTTAATCAGCTTCATCCTGAACTATTGGATAATGATCGAAATTTGTACTTTCATCTTCAGGTAGATTTTCTATAAATGACCATAAATTTTTTACTGATACCTTTTCTTGTAGCAACTCCATTTGATTGAGTTAATTCGAAATAATCGGGTGGAAGAAGCTCTTGCTTTTGCCCAATCACATTTGAGTGAGGCTGGAGAAGATGATACATCTATATTAAATGAATTAGAGAGAACAGTTGCACTTTTGGCCTTTGAAGACCCTCTAAACAGTCCTTTTGGTGATTTACTTCAACCTGCTCATAGGCAGAAGGTTGTAAAGGTTTTATATGGTCATATTTCCTTTTTAAAATGATTTGTTGTTGTGTATTGGTTTCATTCAAATGATATAGTTATATTTGATCAATTTTTTATTGGGAACGTAGATTTGGTCATGATTTTATGGTACTATATGAAATATCTGCTTATATAAATCTTTTTTACATTATACTTATATAAAATGAGTTGGCATTTAATCAACTTACTCAAATTATTAACTTACTTAAATATTGACATTCTTGGCAGAATATTGTCACATAGTATTTTAGTAAATGGTCAATAGTGTGAACCGAAAAAAAGACAACACCCATTCACTTTATGTACTTTTTCATGTTAATGAACGTTGTATGGAATAAGTAATACACATTTAATTGTATGTGCTTAATTTAATTAATTACTTTTCTGTATCAGGTGGCAAGTAAGGTGAATGCTGCAATCCTTAAAATGGAACACCAAATACAAATTTCTCCAAAATTATCTACACTTCTAAAGTTAATTTTGTGGTCTCAGGATCAGCTTGATAAGAAGATTACAAAGTATCCAAAAATGACTGATTTAGAATCAGCAACTATTGAGAGTCCAAAATAAGTGGAAATATTGCAGTGTTAAGAGTGGCAAACGATTTATTCCCTCACATATTCATTTATTTCATCCTTAGAAGTATTGTAAAAAAATAGTTGTAAAGGATATTGAAATTTAACTCTGTATTTTTATATTTGCTGATTAAGTAATAACTAGCTTTATTATTTATATACATAGTTAGTTTTAGGTGATGCTAACAAAAATAAATTTTAATAAAAATTCATTTAGCAAAATTGCTTTTCTTCTTGATTTTAAAGTTGTAGTAAAGGCTTTCGAAACCAATTTAATAAATAAAACAATATAAGTTAAAGAAATATATTTTTTGTAATATTGTATATTCACAAAAACGATTTTTAAAATACAGAAGATATTGTAAATAAAAAATTAGAAAAATATGTATATATAAACAGTAGAAGCATACTTGCACAATATTATGAACTATTAAAAATTACTGCATTAAAAATTAACCAATAATTAAATTAACATTAACAGTTTATAAATTATACCTATTTTTTTTAAATATCATTTTCGATGAAAGAATGAAACCAAACGATTACCACCCAAAAACATATTCCATTGCTTTAGTGACAAAACCAGTTGACTTTTGAGGCATGTTTTGTGGTGGAATAACTGAATTAGGGCTTTGAGGAGTTACATATGACTGTCTTAAAGATCTTGCCCTGATTGGAGAAGTGATAACTGTATTGTAGTTCTCTTTATTGTCTTGTTTGTTATGATATGGCAAAACACCAATCATAATCGTACTTGTAATTAATTTACCATTGTATGCCAGTGCTTTTGCAACTTCTTGCACTGAATTATATTTAACATGAACCCAATTCCCTTGGGCTGGAAACTTCTTATCAATTATTGTTCCACATTGAGAAAAATGAGTCAAAATTACACTTGCAGCACTTGGTGGAAACCCAAAAATTGTTACCCACAAATTGTCACATTTTGTATTTAGCAATACCGGTTTATGGGACCTGTTTAAGCTTTCATTTAAGTTGTTTATTGTACGATTATAATCTACTCCGTCGTTAACAATTCTAGAAAAACTTTCATTTGGTGTAAGAGAAGGAGAATCGGTAAAAGATTGCATAGTGCTACTTAACACTGACCCAGACTTCACATTTGATCCTAAACTGTCGAATAGACCTTGCTTTGGTGGACCAGCTTTATCAGACCTAACAGTTGGTCCAAATGGCGAATCCGCTAGACTTTGATTAAATAACTTTTGTCTTAAATTTCCAGTTGTAGCACCAGGAGTATTTCTGGGTACCGATATATTTTTGCTTCTCCCAGGTGATAACGAAGGACTAGTTGGGGTATTCGGTTGAGTGTCTCCTATTAAAAAGGCGGGCAAAAAGTTTGGGTTTGCTGTTGGAGAAGCTGGACTACCTGGTGGACTTCCTAAGGCCATTGGTTCCATTGCACTCAAAATTTCAAATATATACAAGTTTTACTACCCACTAATTTGTTTAAATATTAAGATAAGCGTTTCAACCGTTAATAGACGATTTGATTTTTGACGTAAGCAGCCAACTTCGATTCAATCTGCTTCACCATAGATAAGTACTTGACGTAAATTAAGAAGTCTTATCACTGAATTTAAAGAATAATTCAATTTTCTTTAACTTATTTTTAATCGTTACATATTTAAGTAGACAAAAAAAGTTATTTCAGCGTCAACAGTTTTTATGATCGGTAGGAAAATCTGAAATAGCTTTTAAAATTTAATTTTGATAAAATAATTTATTCTGATATGTAATGTAGACACATCTGATATTTACAATTGATTGCAGCGCCTTTGACGGTAATTTGTAGAAGTATTGAAAAATTTAAATTTCGAAGGGATCCTTTTAATGTGTTAATTTTTCTTTATACTTATTAACTGGTAAGGAAAATGGTTTAGTTTTTCTTAATTCACTACCTACTGTTTTATAATTGTATACTGAATATCAAAAGGCAAATATATAAATTAAAAAAATGTTAATTTCAATTCATTAAAATGAAATATTTAAATAGGGTTTGTTTTCTTCTTCAAATAATGTTGAGCTAGCTAATACTAACAAAATTATTTATCAATAGTTGAATATAAAATTTACATCTTCTATAAAGTCTTTTAAGTAATGCGCCGGCCCAACATACAAAATAATCAAAACCAAGACCCGAAAACTCAGTTGTCGATGCAAGATGGCGGTGAGTGGTGTTGTGTCAAGTTCTCGGCTCTTGTTACGTTTCGAAATTCAAAAAGTTATTCATCATTCATCATTAGGTAACCTGTCACTAATTAATAGGGTTAGTATTAGTTTTACTATTTTAAATAATAAAATCTTTAAANTAGGTAAATAATAGAGCTACTTTACACATCCGTTTTGTTTGAATTCGATTTACATGTTTGAATCACCTTCTAGCTTTGCTACATTTTTTTAAGGCAATGTACCTGCCTTTTAAAATCAATTGATATCTAATAATAATCACTCATATTTTTAATATTGATAAGTTTTGCGATTAGTGGTAAGTATAACAAGATTTATTAATAAATTGAATAATAATATACAATAGTTCGTAAGTGTCTTAACCGTGGAAGTCAGAAATTCCTATTAGTAGCCGATCCAGTACTCCACTCTAAATAAAATGGTCGAATATTGTATAATAGGCAAACATTAAATTTTCCCTTGCTTTAGAATATTTCAAATTCCAGCTAAAATACATGTGCTACCCGTAAAGAATTCCGATAAAATATCATTTAGCAGTATATTGCCATCTACTGTTATTTACTGCACACTATAGTATTTCGAATGCTTGACAAGGGCTACGCGAAGGTATCTACACTTATGTCATGCTTATCAACTAGGTATATTGTTGAACAGATTTAATTAGAAAAGTATTTTGTGCTTCGTTGAGAAAAGAAGAAAGAAACCGTTCGAATACATACAAATTAAATGCTGGTTGGTTTTTTATTGATTTAGCCGCAATTATATCTTTCCTTTGTCCTTTTTCTATGTATATTCTACGAATTAGCCGCCATATTGTACCGACAATGTAGGGTCATTAAGTAGGTTGAGGCGTAATCCCAAGGGTTGTTTTTTGTAGTGGTTACTTCGTAAATGTTTCTTTTGTCGTTGCTTCTTCACTTGGAATAATGTGCTGTTTTTTAAGAAAAGGAATAGAATAAAAAACTTTTTACTTTCTGAAGCGAGAAGGTCACTTCGAATTCCTGATAAGGAATAATTTAGAGGTCTTTGTTCAGTTTTGGTATCTATTTTCATTTTGAATGAAAGAAAAAAGGGGAAAGCTTTTAATAGCGTTCTATAAATCTATTCATCTTGTAATTAGATTTTTATTATCAAAGTTTTTAACCTTGAGTTATTGTTAATTGTTTTTCATAACAATAATTTTTGTCAGAACGTGGCAGCTGTTTGAGCCTATAATTTTATTTCATACCCATTATCAATTGCGACGATATACTTCTTCAATATTTAATTGTCTTTGGTTACTTATTATAATTATCAATCGTGTATCAATCATGTGAATTTATAGAATATATTTTTGGAGATCTATGTCGTTACCCAACAGTATTGTACATCTGGAAAAAATGCTGATAAAATTGGTAGGTATTTACACGAATTAAATTCGAATTCGACCTCCTAAATTTAATATTATTTCTACTATACGTAGTTACTCTTGCTAATGATCTATAAGCATTCAATACAATAGTGCAGATTTAATAAATAAAAACTAAACTCTAAAACATTATAAAGTATTTTATTTTATTTATATTAAATACATATCATGTACTTTAAAATCTTGTTGCGTCAAAAGTTACGTTGATGCACACGTTTTTGATTTTTTGACCCTTTCAAAATGTAAATGATGATAGTGAATACTATCAAGGTTACCAAATATTATACGTAAAAGTTGAAATACAAAATATTTTGAAAGAACTGTGATGCGATAACATAATATTCAACATTATCAAGGTGCAGATGAGTCCTTGAAAACCATCTTAAAAGTTTGATAATTTTAAGTTTCATTTAATTGCTGCCTACTGATGTGTTTTTTAGTTTTTTTCTAGCCTTTAACCGTGGTTGAAGAGGTCGACTGTGGAATTCCTTTGACTTAAAAATTTCATTTGTTCTTTTCATTTGTTACAGTGTTCGCGGGTTCGGACTTTAAGACATTGTAGAAAGTTTACAACGAGTTTAGTGAGTGGTGATAAACCGAAAGAAAAAGAAAATGAAAACGGTGGTGCTAATAAGACTTTAAAGAAACAATCATCAAGTTCCTCGTCGGACAGTGACCAATCGGATTCAGATGACGAAGGTGAGTAACACTTCGCATCGAGTCACTTATTAATAACAGTAATACCAGCCTCTCTTTCGATGTGATTAAAAAAAAAAGGATAATGATGTATCTGACAAATGACCAATTAATCAAATTTTGGTATTAATACATAAAATACTTACTAGATAAACATATGAAAATATAAAATTTAATTTGTAATTAGATGAAAAACTTGTAGTTCCTACAATTTTATTTTAATCAACAACAGGGACAATAATTAACTTTTAATTTTTTTTTTGGTGTATTTATTCTATTTATTTTACTCACAAATACTTATGATATGCATTTAACAAAATTTTTTATTCTTTATTCATTAAATCTTTATTTTATTTTCTGAGAACTATGCTCTTTTTTGCTCATGAAAACTATAAATTTTTATGTTCGTATTCATCCAAATTCACTAATTGTTTTTCACGTTGATTTAAAATAATAGTTAAAGACATTTTGCCTAGTTTTGATTACTTCCGGTAACTATTGCGCAAACAAATAAATTTGTCCTTTCTCCTGTTAGGGAGTGATCAAGGTAATTATTACGGCTATTGTAAATTTGGCCGATTTAATGGGTTTTTATTAATTACAGTGGTAAATTCGGCCGGAAACGTTTCGTAACCCTCAAAAATAAAATGTAAATTCGGCCGATTTGTGCTCAAATAAACGTAAAAAATAAAAATAACAGTGCCATTATCATCACATGACTGTTGTATAAGGTTTTAAATTTTATAAACAAATTCAGTGCATTTTACACACAAATATAAAAATTTGTTCTACAGTTTTTTCAAAAATTTTTATTACAAATTCACTATTTATTATAAAATTTAAACAGATCGCTGATACGTATTACTTCAGTGTGAATTGCCTATTTTTATCAACTTTGTAATATTAAATAGGTAATAAAAATGCTAGGTAAATAATAGAGCTACTTTACACATCCGTTTTGTTTGAATTCGATTTACATGTTTGAATCACCTTCTAGCTGTGCTACATTTTTTTAAGGCAATGTACCTGCCTTTTAAAATCAATTGATATCTAATAATAATCACTCATATTTTTAATATTGATAAGTTTTGCGATTAGTGGTAAGTATAACAAGATTTATTAATAAATTGAATAATAATATACAATAGTTCGTAAGTGTCTTAACCGTGGAAGTCAGAAATTCCTATTAGTAGCCGATCCAGTACTCCACTCTAAATAAAATGGTCGAATATTGTATAATAGGCAAACATTAAATTTTCCCTTGCTTTAGAATATTTCAAATTCCAGCTAAAATACATGTGCTACCCGTAAAGAATTCCGATAAAATATCATTTAGCAGTATATTGCCATCTACTGTTATTTACTGCACACTATAGTATTTCGAATGCTTGACAAGGGCTACGCGAAGGTATCTACACTTATGTCATGCTTATCAACTAGGTATATTGTTGAACAGATTTAATTAGAAAAGTATTTTGTGCTTCTTTGAGAAAAGAAGAAAGAAACCGTTCGAATACATACAAATTAAATGCTGGTTGGTTTTTTATTGATTTAGCCGCAATTATATCTTTCCTTTGTCCTTTTTCTATGTATATTCTACGAATTAGCCGCCATATTGTACCGACAATGTAGGGTCATTAAGTAGGTTGAGGCGTAATCCCAAGGGTTGTTTTTTGTAGTGGTTACTTCGTAAATGTTTCTTTTGTCGTTGCTTCTTCACTTGGAATAATGTGCTGTTTTTTAAGAAAAGGAATAGAATAAAAAACTTTTTACTTTCTGAAGCGAGAAGGTCACTTCGAATTCCTGATAAGGAATAATTTAGAGGTCTTTGTTCAGTTTTGGTATCTATTTTCATTTTGAATGAAAGAAAAAAGGGGAAAGCTTTTAATAGCGTTCTATAAATCTATTCATCTTGTAATTAGATTTTTATTATCAAAGTTTTTAACCTTGAGTTATTGTTAATTGTTTTTCATAACAATAATTTTTGTCAGAACGTGGCAGCTGTTTGAGCCTATAATTTTATTTCATACCCATTATCAATTGCGACGATATACTTCTTCAATATTTAATTGTCTTTGGTTACTTATTATAATTATCAATCGTGTATCAATCATGTGAATTTATAGAATATATTTTTGGAGATCTATGTCGTTACCCAACAGTATTGTACATCTGGAAAAAATGCTGATAAAATTGGTTTGCTTTGTTATCTACGGTCTACTGTATTACGTTTTAACAACCAAACGATGAAAATGTTAACACATAACTTGCTAAGTACTTAATTGTTTTGATACTAATAAAAACGAGTAACGTTTAGTTCGCATTTGTGGTATTAATTACCGCAATTATGTAATGTGTGTGAAATAGCTAGCTTATCTTTTACTGTATAAATTGTTCACAAGCTGCTTTTAAATTTGTAGGTGTAACAACAATAATTTATATGATGTAAACAATTATAAGTATTTCGAATTTATAACTAATTATCGTATATTATACGTTAATGTATCATTCTACTTTAAAATTTTCTATGGGAATATTATTTAGAATTAGAATTTTGTTGGGTTATTTGCTGGTATTTATTGCTATTTTATAATTCTAAGGGTACTATTGTAGGTATAGTAGAGTCCGCTTATAATGACATCGAAGGGAAATGACAAACGTCATACTAAGCGGGCGTCTTACAAGGCATAGTCTTAGAAAATAAACAACTTTCTATTTTGGTTAGTTATTTAGTTTAATAGAGAGAAAAACTACAAATTGTATAATATATTTATTAACAGAAAAAGAAAAAGAACGATAAATTGTAATATTAATATACATAAGAAGGGTCAGAAAAATGAGCGAAAATGTTATTATTACTCATTTGGGTCACTATAGCGGGATAGGATTTTGTGAAAATCAGTCATAATAAACGATATGTCATTTTAAACGGAGTTATTATATCCAAACTTTTCTAGAGGGAATTTAATACGAAAACCAAACTTGACACTGCAATTACTTCATATTAAACGGTTGGTCAATATAGGCGGAGTCATAATAAACGAATTCCACTGTACATATTTATGAAGTAAAATGAGATCAGCCATTCTAGTTTTTTTTTTATTTTTACAGTAGATTGTAGATGCTCCCTTCTTATTAGAAAAGGTCGATATTGGTAAAAAATAAAACACTATAGTGTGATGTGTCTTCGTCTGTCTTTCTGTCTGTCATTGGTACGATAATATCAGCTTATAACAGATTTTCATTATTTGAAAAATTTTTAACTTCGTAACTAGCGGAATATGAGTAGCTGTCAACTAAAACAATTGCCTTTCTAGGTACTTGATGGACACATTATTACCATAACTGAATTGATTGCTTAATGTTTTTCTAGTTCAGGCAGTTAAAGTGCTCTGTAATTTATGTTAGATCTACTGATGCAAGTCCCCTAAATTTTGAAGACAATAAGTGTTTCGTTGTTACATAAAGGTCATTCTCTGGACAGCCTTGAAATTATACTACAACAATTGAATAAAACATCACTAACGAGCAATTTTAATTCATGTGCTACTCTGGTAACTGAATGAAAACGGTGATTTTGAAGTCGTTGACTTCTTCGTTTTTATGCTTAAATAAAGTTTATACCTATACAAACTGCAGATCCACTTTTTTATCAAAGTAAGATAAAAAATATATTTCAAGAGATTTTTTCTGCATATCTTATTAAAAAATTACGGAATACCAGATAAAAAGTAATGATCAAGTTTGAACATATATTCTGTCATAAATTGAAAAGAATCTGTTTCCATCACAGAAACGATTCCTACAGAGGGTGATATATAAAACAAATGGGCGATTTCAACGTCAAATAACGCATTGACTACACCTCTTATTATATGAGACCAAATCGATCAAAACAATGTCGTCTTTGATGTGTATTTTATAATTACGTAATAGAATGCCAGACCATACATCATGCATACAGTCGTAAATGTCCTGAAAAAGTTCGAAAAAGATGAATCCACCGACACACCAACAGGTGTAGGCATCAGTCTTTTCTTTTTGTAAATTGTTTTGTTGATATGACGGCTCCTACTTTTGGTTTTGTTGGTCATGAACTGTTGCGATGGTAGATTAATTTCTTCGGTCTAATTGACCAATTTTTTTCAAGTCATTGGACCTCAGTTTGAGTAAGTGAGTTAACTTCATTTTTTAATAATCGGGATATCCAATTATTCAAAAGACAATGCTCTCCTTGATGCCTAATTGATAACTACTTGAATTTATACAATGGGACTTAAAGAAAGATGAGCCAAATGTTCACATACTATAATATCCGTTGGATTCACATTTTTTGTCTTATTTTTATACTTGAATCATGAACGAAAAGTTGTACAAATGAATCGACTTTGGCTATTAATCTTCTGGTCTGTTCCTTGGCGTCCTATTGCATAAGTGTATTTCCTAATCCGTTCCTAATAGAACACCTTATACTCTATACGGAATGGACCAGTTGTATAATTACGATTAAACTTCGTTACTAGGTACACATCAAAGAGAGCACTGTTTTGGTATGATTATAAACCGAGAAGTTACAATAATGTTTGACTTCAAGTCGCTCATTTATTGTATCCATCGCTCTTTGTGTAATAACGTTTTACAATTTACAGAAATAGCTTTCCATTCGTTCATTTGTAATATTTTTGCTTTGAAAAAAGACTTTTTGTATTTCACTTTTTTCTAAAAGATTCAATTTTTTGTTTTTATTACTTTAATATTATTTAATCTGTAATTATTTGTTCTTGTTAAAATTGTAGGTACTAATGAGAAAATCTTTTACTGCATTTTATCAATACGTAGGTTTATATTTTTGTTTATTAATCCAGACGAACTTTACCGTGTTAAATGCTGCCTCCTTGTCATTTAAAAGTGAATAATGGCTTGAATTTGACCCGTAAAATTTTTGAATTGTTAATGAAGGGCTCTAGTCATGAGTGCAAGTGTAGTAAAAGATCCCATTAACGTGCTCTTAGTTTTTGTCGCGGACTAATTACGTACCGCATGTTTTGCTAGCATGTGGGTCACATTAAAGGGTCGTTTAATTTTCAAGTTTATTTCAAAGCATGAGGGGTCGTGTAATTGTGCACTTTAATCTGTCAAGGATGTGCTTTGCATACGGCTTCGTGTACCTACATATATATATATGTAATGTGTAAAATAAGCAAAACTGAATTTTTATGCAATGTCTAATGCTGTACGTATAAATAGATTAATTGACTTACCTGATCCATATTATACTAGTATTGCTGTTTGAAAAATTACAATCCTCTCTTCCCTGTTCTTCTTTTGAACGATCTAGAAAAAAAAACCAAATTCGTGCTGGGACACATAGTAGAAGTTAAACTTCAACGGACAAGTGGAAAAACGAATGGCAACGGACAAGTACTTGCTCAATTTGAAAACCGTACAAAATTTTTACTTCATGTTTTACGGGCAGATTGTTAATGTACTTGTCCAAACCTGCCCGTAAAATTTTGTACGGTTTTCAAATTGGACAAGTACATTGACAATCTGCCCGTAAAACTTGAAGTAAAAATTTTGTTGCGATTCGTTTTTTCATTTGTCCGTTTCCATTCGTTATTCCACATGTCCGTTGATGTTTCACTTCTACTATGTATCCCAGCACTTATGATTTGGTTTTTACACATACCGCAAATAGAGACAGTGATGCCCAGCCACGTGGAGAGCAGAAGTAAGAAAATAACAGCTGAGCAGAGCACACGCCGCCGGGACTCTAGCGGACTCCCGGGTGTATTTCGCATTATTTGATGTAAATATTAGAAACTAAAAATAAATGTTTGATACTTGTTTAGAAACTTGCTCAAACTAGAACACAAAACAGTTGTGGAACAATTTCTATAAAAGACTTTTGTAATTATATGTATTATCAAAATGGTTTAGTAAAATGCTAACATTGCAAATTTATATGCACGAAATACGTTTATTATTTGATTCCATTAATTTCAGTTTGGAATTCGGTTATACGTAATTAAAAACTCGTAAACAGTGGGGTTAATTAATTAAATTTGTTTCTGGCTTTAATTGAACATTATTTTACCTATAAAACGTATTTATATGTACATGTAGGTAAATTGTATAATTTGTAAAGTTGTGGATGTATTGTAGTCTTTAAATACGAAATGAAATTGTTATTAATAATCTATGGAGAACAGTGATAAAACATATTCCTCGAATACATATATTTATTTTTCATTAAATTTAGAATAAAGATGTAAGCTCGGAAGTTCCATTCTCCTGAAGGAGAACAAAGGGATGCGTCTATATTTCTGTAGTACATCAGACAAAGCGGCAGGAGGCAATTTTACAAAATCTCTTTTAAATTAAAACGGAAGAATGGGCAATCAACGTCTATTAAGTTTCAAGAATTTTTCGTTCTACATAAGTCGACATTGTTTTCTGAAACATGTATAAACGTAATAATTTATTTTTAAATGTATAAAAGGTTGAGAAGGCAAAATTATAACTCAACATTTTACAACTTTTATTTTTCATTTTAATCTGCAATGTTCATGGAGAAAATGAAAAATGAAAATTTACCTAAATATTAAAGCGATATTTACAATTCATCCCACTAGCTGGTTGCTTCGCAAGCGAAAATAATAAAATTTACGGTTTGGATCCGAATTTGTAAAAACAAAATCCCAGCAGAAATAAATTTACTAGGTATTTTAGTTGATATTACAAGTTTAATTGTAATAATTAATAAACTTGAAATAATTTTTAAAGAAACATGTCAAAATTGAGATTATTACAAGTTATCTAATAAATTCTACTATTTCTACGGCAAATTCAATTATTTACAATCGAAAATTGTAATTTTTGCGTTGTCATAAAAATTTAGTTTTCTCAGTGTTATTTCTACGTTTGGTTTATTGTTCAAACGTGTGTATGCGTTGCAGTAAATTGTATAAAAGAGAAAATCAAAAATGCAAATTAACAACAAATACAATATGAGGATAAACGAAACGGTATTTTTACGTTTAAAACTATTTTGAATACGTATATGGAAACGGCTCTACCCAAATGTAACTTTGTTCTTGTGCGAATATTGTTCCGCAGTCAAACATTGAAATCGATCGATTTTCCAAGTTGAAGACATTCTCTAACCGTAAACAAAATTTTATGGTTTCTACTTTCACATTGGGCATTTATTTTGCGTTTTATATAACCAAAAATTTTCTTTCTGTAGTTTAAATGTGTGCAACAAAAAAGACCGATACATCAATTTAATTTTCAAAACAATATTAAGGCTTGATTCTCATTATAGGGCCGCTCTTGGTACGTTTTCAGTTCGGCAAAATATTTTTACAGGAGAAACTGAACCTAATCACACTGACGTTATCGCGCCGGCTTTGGTTCTATCACGTTTCGATATCGATACATTTTATTGAAAGGAAATGGGACCTATTCCGAATTGTATCGGTAGTGTGAATACGTTTTTGAATACACTTAACTGCGTCATCATCGGTCAGTTGTATGTTTGGTGAAAGAGATAATTTATTTGAAAGTAAAATTACTTAAAAATGTAGCAGATTATTTAAATACGGCGTATATTTGCCTTCAATTTTTCGCATTTGCAAAAATGGATGCGACTACATCTTCTTTTTTCTTTCTTCGTTTTTAAGCTTTTTCGTTATCTTTTAAAAGAGGCTATCACAGCTGATTGTACCGTGGAAAATATGAACGACATTTTACCTCGACAGACGAAAAGAGACTGAAGCGCGATCGAAATGAATGAAGCGTGAATACGAGGATATTTATAAATATCGGACCGAGAACGGTCCCATAATGTGAATCGACTCTAAATGGTAGTATACTAAATTTCAGAATTGAAATTGGGACGTATCTTAGAAATTTTTATTGGCTACGTTATATTGTTTCAGGTTTTCGAAAGAATTCTCTTTTATTTTTTGTTATGCTAAAGCATATAAAAAGTATCTCTTGCAAATGTTATTTTAATACGAATTTTCAATAATATAAAATCCCAGATTAATTAAACATTTCTTTGATGTTCCTTATTTACGATTTATGTAAGTTGTCCGTATTGGTTGCCTTTTTTAGTAGCACGTCATGTCATGTTTGATCAAACATATTCAAAATCAAGTGTATAATTTGTACTATGTGAAGGATTTCATGTGTTAGCCTAGGTCTTGCTAAGGTGTCTTCTTGTCCAGCTGGACTAATGATATAGATTATTTATAGACATGAAAAGCACATAAACCAATAAGAACAGTATACGTTCTTGGTCAGCAACTTTGTGTTTTATTAAATCTCATCAGCACGCCATATGACTGATAAATTACTGACCAAGAGCTTATAATTCTTTCTTATCGATTTTTAATAAATCTGCCAAAATTAAAGCACACTGTTTACATATAGATATATTTTTATTATTACAATGTAAATCACAAACGTTTTTGCCACTTAAACATACAATGTGCAATTATGGTAGTATAAGTACTACATCTATTAAAGAGAATAAGTTAGCTTATTCTAGGATCCAACAAATATTATTCAATTAAGATTAATATAAGAATATTATTGTTCACCTCTCCGAAGAGTTATTGTTGTATATACAATAGTTACACATATTATATTATTCCTGCTAATACATATATTAATTCACCAGCATATGCTTGTCGGTGTATAATTAACTTAATTCTTAGTATCCTATAATTTTACTTAAGTTTTTTAATGTAAAGCATTGGTAAACTTGTTATGTCGATGGTGTATTATTGCACCTATGCGAAGACAGTCTTAAAGTTTTGAGACTAAAGAAAAAACAAGTGAAGTTAATTAATTAATTACTTGAAGCAATCTCATAAGGTTCAAATTCGATATCCTCCCTTTTCTTTAACGCCTCGTTTGTTTTATTCGCGAATCCGTGGTACTCGGCGAATTTCGTTGTAGTAGACGGATTCGACTTGCACGACAAATTTTCGTTTGATTTATTAAGCTTGTCGTTGGGACATTTCCACTTTTCCGCTATGATCTTCGGCGAGTCGATTTTCTCGCTCTTATCCTGTCGCTTAATTGACTCATTAATTATGTCCTTGACGGATAATATATGAAGTGGCTCCTCGGTTTCGCCGAGTCCGAAGTCGACTTTGGAAAAGGACGAATAGTTCGAAGGCGATCCGTTGTCCTGGACTATTTTCGTACCGATCAGTTCCAGACGGCTGCTACAGCTATTCGATTTCAGCAAGGTGAGCTTAAAAGCTTGATTCGTGAATTCGTTTTTGTCATTCTCCTTCTTGTCCCTCTGCTGTTGCTGCTGCTGCTGCTGCTTTCTCTGCAGCAGGATCCTGTCGGAATGTGCATACCGATTGTTGTTCTCTTTCTGCAGCGTTTCGCGATCGATGGAAATACGACGGCATGTACATTCCCTTTTCTTGAGTCCGCGTATTTCTTCCATGATTACCTTCGTCATCGGATTGAACGCTTCGTTACCCTTGTCAAGAACTTTTCCGCCGTAGTAGGTTACAGACGTGCCGCATTCACGTATTTTCTTTAACACGTCTTCGCTCACGTACTGATATTCGCAACAAAGGTCGTCGTAAAGTTCGTCTGTGCTGCCGAAATCGGACGTGTTACAGTTGTCTTCAATCGAACAGTTGTCTTTGTCAGGATCCGTGAGCGATTTTTTAAGATTTGTTTTGTTATTCAATTCCTCGTAGCTGCGAGATTTCTTCAGGCATTTCTCAAACATTTGTCTGGCTTGTTTGACGGTATCCGGATTGGGTAACTCGTTTTCGTTCATTTCTTTGTTTACCCTAATCGGATGGTAAAAGAAATGGTGACGTAGTCCTCCTGATTGGGATTTTGAGAAGTTGGCTTTGTGCAATAACGGAGTCACGTTTTTGGTGGTGCTCGAGTTTTCGTTCGGGAAAGGTACCGTTGTCCTTATCGGCTCTATTATCACGATGTGATTATCTGTTAGCATGTCGTGAAAGCTGTAATCTTGAAGGTATTGCATCAGTCCTTCGAACTGGGATTCTTTTTCACAATTTGCGAATATGTTTTTTTGAAATAATTCCGATTTCATAACCCGAAAACGAACCCTGTCGAACTCGGGATCCTCGGTTTGTTTCAGCTTTTGTGGTGACGTTTGTAGTGATTTTTCTGATAGATCCTCTTGGCTCCTGCTGTAGTCGCTTGTGATACTGTCGCAACTGCTAATTCTTCCCGAAGAGCAACTTTCAGCTTTTTTTTCGTTTCTGGTTTCTATTATGTCAACGGAAAAAGGACTAAGGCTTTCGAACTGATTTGAGCTATCTGAAAATCTGTTTTTTCTGGTAACGGGTTTTTCGAAAACCGCTAGTGTTTCCTTTATCAACGGTGATATTTTTTCGACCTTTGTTGGAGTTACTTTTGGCTCGAACAATTGCTTCGTGGCCTGGACCATGCTGACTTGCCTTTCTACAACTCGTTCCTTCTTCGGTTCGAACTTTTTAATCACGTCTTCGACTTTTGTTTGGATTTCTTCATCAAATTTTGACTTTGGTTCAGTTTCTGTAACATTTTCTTCATCTTCGGGTTGTGTCGGTTCGTTTGAAAGTTTTTTCCAATGTTTTCTCATTGTTCCCACCTTTTCTATTAGTTCAGGGCTGCAGTTGCGCATGGAATCTATTGTATCCGTTTGGGAATTTTCCCTTTTTATTTCTTTCATGGTTTTTTCGACGTCTTTCAGTTCTATTGCTTCAGCTATCTGAGGAAGCGGTTCGTTTTTCAGTTTATCCAATTTCCTTTCAATGATTTCGCGCTTTTGATGTTTACGCTTTTTCGACTTAGTTGCGGGCTTTCGTTCGTTGTTATTTTTATCGCCAGAATCGATTTGAATTCTTTTGTCACGTTCGGTACACTTTCCTGTTTGAATATCTGGAACTGGCTTATCCGATTCTGGATTGGAACTGTTTACGCTGAGTGTTTGGTTGAGTTGCTTAACCGCCTTCAAGAAGGATTCTTGCTCTTGATCGTTGACCTGATTTTGTTTTCGATGTTTTTTCGATTTGTTTTGTTTAGTAACTTTGGTAATTTTTACTTCGAAATCGACTGGTGGTGCTTGATTGACAACGAAGTGAGGGCCGATGTTGACGATAAATCTATCGTTAGAATAAGGGTTTTTAGGGATTGCTAGTTTTTCGCACTTGCGAAGTTTGCGGTCAATTTTTTCACACTTTCTCAAATTTTCGCCGACGGATAGGTCAGGTAATGAATGATATTGGTTCTGTTGAAGACTGGATTTGTGCTTATGTTTATTTTCCCTTCTGATGTTGAAATCGCCGAAGGCACTTGAGAGTTTTCTCGATATGAATGTTTGCAACGGCTTTCTGGGTGTTTTGTGGACTTCTTTGGTGGCTTTGGGGGTTTCGTTTTGACTTTGATTCTCTAATTTATCGTCGACTTGTACTATGGTCTTGTACGCTTCGTTATCGACCTCGTCACTGGCTTCAACTTTAATGCGGGTTTTAATAGGATCGCAAACTTTCGCTGTCTGCTTATCTCCAATTTCGCCCTTTTCGAGATTTATTACCGAGGAATCAGAATCGTTTTTTAATTTCGTTAATACCGGGGAAGAAGCAGACCCGTTCACCTGTTCAAATGTATTTGTATTACTTTCGGGTAACTTAATCGAATTTTTTGGTTCAGATACTGTGCAAGATTGAATAGGAAGTTCGTCGTAAATCGGATTAGTTTCAACGAGCGGTAGGTCGGTGTACGTCGAATTTTCGGAATTGGTCCTCTGAGATTCCGTTTGCTGTTGCCTATGATTCAGCCCCTTTGAAATGTGGTCGCAATTTAAGTCGATCTCGTCGATATTTTTGTCCAATTCAATGTAACCGTTGTAGTCACTCGTAGATTTTTCTTTTTCGGAAGATTCTCTTTGTTCGGGAATGTCTATGTCTATTACATAACTCAAATATTCGTTTGGGAAGCTTCGTGGTCTTCCAGTAAAGCAGTCTCTTCCGTCCTGGTATGACGGTATGAAGTCCCGGAATCTCCGAGGTTTATTATCAAATGCTGAACTCTTACCAAAATGTATGTTATCGTCATAAACAATATCCTCGATAGATGTAAAGCTTTTCAATTTTCTTCTTAAAACTGGACTTTGGCCTTTTGGAGTTTTGTTTTCGATAGAACTTTTTTCATTAGCTAAGTCTGCTGTGTCTTCGAATTCTTCCTCTCTTTCAGTGACTGAAGCGTCTTCTAAGCAGGAATGATCTGAACTGTTGTTGGGGTAATAGTTTGGTAAATTCAGTCCAAAGTCTTTGTTGGGAGTGTTATCGTGAGATAATTGACATGTGCTGTATGAAGAAGATTTGTTGTAAAAATTTGAATCCAAACTCTCCGACTCGCGGTGAGAATCTGTCGTCAGGTGATTTAAACTGTAAAATAGCTCCTCTTCCAAGTTGCCGTTGTGATAACGAGACGGCGAATCAATTACGTCAATATCGACTGGGAAACTTGAGGTTCTGCTCGCTAGTTTTGGTTTGATGGATGATATATTGTCGTAGCTGTTTCTAAACTGGTAACCTCTGGAAATGAAAATGAAAAACGTTATTAATATATCTATGTATCTACATAAAATGCTCATCTTTCATAACAGAACTAATTATAATTCAAGCAAATTTTAATCTTTTATTATAGTTTTCTGTATCTGTTAAGAATATTTAGGTCACCGAAACTGCTCAAAGTATTTGTAATAAGAAGTAAAAGTTGTTATTATAGTACCAGTATTTAATTTTAAGTATTTGCTGAATTTATTTTTACGTTATTGCGAAAAAATAAAAATAGTAGTCAAAGTTATTCAACTGGCATCGGGACCAGGTATTTTCGAAAGTTTTAATTGGCATTTGGCCAGGCGTCCAACTTAAATTGCATTGGGATATAAACAGTAGGTGTAGGTACATTTTAAATAACAAAAAAGTTGTTGTTTCAGCTGCTTGTAGGTTGATGGTACTGGATACCAGTATCCTCGATACTGACATGCTTTTTCTCAAATTCCTAATTTTATTTTTGAGTTTATTTTATTGGAGCACTTTGCGGCTATAATAAGGGATCATACGTTACTACTTCGTGACATCATCATCATCATCATAAGGTCATCAGTCTTGAGACTGGTTGGACACGTACCTCCACTCTTTCCTATCTTGAGCTAAACTTCGCATTTCCCTAAAACTAGAACAGCCCACATCCTTAACTATTTGCGAACAGTAATCTAATCTAGGTCTACCTCTACCCCTCCTAACTCCTGTTTCTGCCTCTAATATGTCTCTGACTAGACC